CTTATTGATTAAGACTATAAATACCCGATCAACGCTGGACCTGCCACCGACGCCTAGTTCATCGCTGGACCAGCAACATATTAATTGGCGCCCAACGTAAAAAAAAAAAAAAAAAAAAAAAAAAAAAAAAAAAAAAAAAAAAAAAAAAAAAATTTTTTTTTTGGAATTTAAATCAGAATTTCATATTGCGATTGCCTGACAACGTCATAGCCGAATGCGATGGAAAAACCCACACACTGCAGAGTTGCACCGCTTCACCTGGAGCCACCTTTTGTCGTCTGGCATTAGAGAGTTCATGTGCCAAAGAGCTCCATGCAGGTGGCACGGCACACTGTGAAATCCAGCCGAGCAACCTGGAAATAATCACCCACGTAGATGATGGAATCATCATTCTTAACGACGGGTCCGCAAGGATCCAGGTGGATAACGGCACTGAAATCCAAGTACACGGCACGCATCTCATTACGTTCGGGGACCGAGTCGCGATCAACGGGACTCTGTTTTACAACCACAACAACGTACGCAATAGAGTCCCGGGCATTGCCAACTCTCCCTTGCTGAACATCACTGCCAGCCAAGATGTCCTCAGCCTCCCTTATCTTCATCGTTTAAATGAACGTAATTTGGAGGAGATACAGCAATTCAAGAAAGACGCCGGAACTGATCAAGCTTATCGTGTGGCATTCATCATTGGAGGTATATGCTGTGCTTTAATCTGCATTGGCCTCACCCTTTGGCGGTTCATCGACGCAAGGAAGTCTGCGAAGCAATTACGAGAAGTCGTCGCCGGAATTGGGTCGGCCGAGGGCGGCCTTACACTTGAAGGGGGAGTAGTTAACACATAACATTTAATATAGGGTATTTCATAAGTTTATAACCAACCCTCGCTATCGCGTGTTTCGTAAGTTAAGAAACAGCCCTCGCAATTGCGACACTGCATACTTTGTATCAGCGCGCTATAACTGCAATGGTCAGCGGCGGTAACCAGATACTTTTGTTTACTGCAAGAGTTTCCGTTATTGCCTAAGATTGCTGAGTCGGCTTGCCGACCATGACATTGTGGTGTGATGCGAGTTTTGGCTTAGCTTAAGTGAAATATTCTATGTAGCTAAAAATCAGTTTTGCATTGAAGTTTGAAGAATAAACCCGCACTACTCCGGCACACCGCCGTAATCAAATTGTTATATTTCTGATCATTGCTGAGCCACAAGGCCAGTTAATAGAAAAGGGGGTGAAGTCAAACCCTCCAACATAATCATCATAAGAAGATTATAATTACCCGACCAACGCTGGACCTGCCACCGACGCCTAGCTCATCGCTGGACCAGCAACTTATTGATTAAGACTATAAATACCCGATCAACGCTGGACCTGCCACCGACGCCTAGTTCATCGCTGGACCAGCAACATATTAATTTGCACACGCATAGGAAAAATGCGTGCGCGTGGCGCTGCTGACATGTGCTTTGGCAAAGTGGCCAAACGTTTTGTTTAATAACTTCTGTTTTACTTAATGGATTTTAATGAAATTTTCAGCATATGATCTACATATCCTATTGGCTTGGTTGAGATGCAAACGCCTTCACATAATAGCCCTAGTTCCAACTAAACTTAAATTCTAAGAATTTGGGGGAATTTGGAGCCGGTATCCAAAATCCAACAAAAATCAAAATTGCATAAAATATACATAAGACTAAATACAAAATTTGGAGGCTCTAGCTCTTAAGACGTTCGAGATATAATTTATTTACTACATTTCAATAATGTTTTTATTCGATAACAATTAAATGCGAATAGTTATCGAATATTTGAAACAAACTTGACCTGCGCGTGCTATACACGGACCTACAAAAAAAATTTCAAGTCTCTAGCTCTTATAGATGCTGAGATCCACGCGTTCACACATACGGACAGACGGACAGACGGACAGACGGACGGACGGACAGACGGACAGACGGACAGACGGACGGACAGACAGACGGACAGGGCTCAATCGACTCGGCTTGTCATCCTGATCAAGAATATATATACTTTATGGGGTCTGCCACGCCTCCTTCTGCCTGTTACATACATTTGCACAAAACCATTATACCCTGATTTCCCATTTTTAATGGGATCAGGGTATAAAAATAATCCCACTGCGTAGTAATAGTTGAAAATTTCGCACCTGTCAAACAATACTTATGTCCTTGATGCCCTTAAACAAACACGAATCGAATCAGGCAATGGCTGATTCCATGATAAGCTTATGCGAAATCAACTGCTCGCTTGCCAGTCGATCGAAAAACAACATTGAGCAAGTGCTAAAATACTGAAATGAAAGCAATTGTCCAGCGTCTAGGCTGAGCCGTTGCAGCAAGCGATTTAATTTTGCATATTTCACATGTGGATAACACCAGCTACAAATGTGCCAACTACAAATGTGTCCAATACAGATAACATTCCGAATAGTTGAAAACAATGTGCACTATGTAATTACTCGAACTCCTGCCCGCTGGCCATGCACTCGTCTCGTGCAATTCGTTTTTAAGCTGGGTTAATTATTTGTGATTGTAACCTCGTTTCGACCGCGTAAATAAAGTGAAATCGAACGGCACGCCGACGCTCAAATACCCTAGCGAAATACTCTTCCAGTGGGCATCGCTCGCTCTCTATGAGAACGATAATCAAACTAGTTTTTAGATCAATTCTTGCCCTGCCACTCTCCATGAGTGCCTATGTGAGGAAGGGTATTTGCTAGGCCGAATGCATTACGAGAAAATATTCTAGCGAGTGCCGCTAAAAAGTTCAGTTTGCTGCATAATTTGGCTGGAAATTTATATGTATCGATGTCAAAAGTCAATTGCCATTGCCAGTAAACTAAATTTAAGCAATTAGATATTAGAGTCGATATTTGTATAAATTTATAATCGAAATCAGTTTAGGCAGCAAGGTATGTGAGCGCGTGTGTGTGCGCGTGTGTGTGGGTGTAGTGAAGCAAATACGTCTGACACCTGATGACGGTGCAATGCACTCCGCACTTTGCCTCTTGAAAGCTTGTCACGCTTTTCAGCTGCGAAGCGTTTTCGATTTGATTGTAATTCCAATTTTAATTGAGAGCTCGGCATCAAATTAATTAAAATAACTCACCGGCTTGTATTAAATCAGCAAAACCATCGACATTCTATGCACCTGTTGTTTGTGCAACTCTTAGCATATACTCGTATAGTTCCATTTAATGCTGCCACAAAAAGAAATGCTAACAATTTAATTAAAATTGCGTTGAGCAAACAACGGCTCAAACACTCTTACGCACCCACCCACAGCCAGCTGTAAGCCCTGCCAGTCGGCCATAAAAACTCCTCTATTCAATCATTCTGAATCACGTCTTGGGACAACGCCAATGCCAAAAACTCCCACTAGATTGTGCAATTTTCAAATGAGCTCTGGCCAAGCAGCCTCATGCAATGTGAATGCTTCAGCAGGGTATATTGATTCGGAACAAGTGCAACAGACCGAGGTGAGCTTTGGAAGATAACCAGCCATTGAAAGGTATCTAAGCATGGACTGATGCATAAGAGTAGATATATGATGGACTACGAGCTTAGCCACAGCAGATAATATTTTATACAAATCAAACAAAAAGGTAAGAATTCTTCCAATAGAAATGTAAGCTGTTTTTTTTAGAGCTATATAAGTACAAACTATAAAAAAGTGAATGAATATAATTTAAACATCAATCAAATAATCGTTATTAAATATAAAATGCTATGACATTAATGTTTAATTGCGAACTAGGCGTACTCAGGCACAGCAATTTTGACAAATGATGACTATCATCACTTTTGAAGACATATAGACTTATAAACGAGAGCAAGATAAATCCTAAAAATGTCAATATATTTATCTATTTATAACAAAATATCAAACTAACTTCAATAAATTGCAAGTATGAACTATTAACTAGGTTGTCAAATAAGGCAGTTTTGTCAACTCGGATTTATTAGGCTTTAAAAAACACTCTTTATGTGTTAGTTAGAGCTACGAGCTGTGCCAGATGAGCTTATCTGTTCAGCTGAATCCACATCTACCATCTGCTAGAAGACTAGCCATTCTAAAATGTAATCAGAATATCAAATATTGCTGCTCGATCGCAGTCTTTGAATAACTTTTCCTGCTGCCCACAATTTCAACTCAATATCAGCTGGATCTGTGCATGGGAAGAGTGGCATAATTTGCATTTCAAGTCAAGACAATACAGAGAAGACTTATCATTTATGCAGTGCACAGTAGAGAGGGGAATTTGGAAAGGTGTCGCCGACAGCGCCACATGGGCTTCCAGCGTGCTTATGAATATGCCACTAGCGCTGGGCTTGGGCGGCTGGAAGGTAAACAGAAAATGTAAACAAAACGTGGCCACGTTGGCCGGCTTCAAGGCGAAACTCACCACGACGAGTTGAAGAGCATTAGAAGCGAGGTGGAAGTTCAACTTCGGCGGCTTTGGCTGCGTCAAGAGCACAAAACTGTTGCATAGAAGCAGGCGCCGATGGCAACTTTCCGAAGCCGGAAGCATAGCCAATGGTCGCAATAATTGGCACACAGCCAACGGGAGTTAGTCATGGACCACGGTGATGGCCCGAACACGGCATAAGGACTCGTAACGTGGCATGAAGTCGCGACGTGGCACGAGGCATGAGGCACGAGGCACGAGGCACACGATTCGCGAGGACTCGGCGCCGAGTCGGCTCCGTGGCAAAATCAAGCAACAGTTTTGCTTGAAACGTCAACACAGGCGGTCGCCATGGCCCAGCGCGCTCCTCTTCCGTCGCGGCAAAGTTTACGTCGCGTGTGAATTTCTACGTGAGTTTCGCTGCGACTCCTGTTGCAAGTGAACTGTGTGCAGCACGCTCCTTAACTGGATGTTGTGCCTCAAAAAAAAAAAAAAAAAAAGAATTGTTTTTTTTTTCCAGTGATTTATAATTGTAACTGAAAACAGCCTATGAAACTGCATAGATATCAAAGATATTAAGACGTTCAGCCGATGACGAGAACTCCGATTAGACCAAAATATAGGCTTAGCTCAGCTGATATTCGGTATGTGCATCAAATGAAATCGCAAAGACAAAAGAGAAAATAGAAAAAGAGGCAAATCAAAAGCTAATTTAACTAATTTGCACTCATTACCCCGAGACACGCACACACACACACAGTCACACACACACATGAATGCTTGAGTGCGGATATAGTCAATGGCTGTTGGCATTGTTATGGCAAGGAGCCTGAACAAGTCAGAAAAAGCCAACACAAGCGCTGGCCGCACACAAAAGGCAAACTGAGAAATATTTGACTAATCGCTGCTCGTTCGAATGCGGCAGACGGAAGTGCAATGCAAAGCAATTCAGACTCAAATCGCTTTGGCTCTCCAACGAAAATTTAATGAAATTAAAACATTTTCATTTCGAAGAGAAACATATTGAAAGTGAATTGACTTTCAAGTGTTTACAACATCCAACTAGGCCAATTTCCCATTCACGATAAATTAATAGAAAACATTTTCTGAAAATAAAAAAAAAGGGCTGGCTTCATAGAATACCAGCTCAAGTCTGTTACAAAATACTATTCCAACTTCATTTACACATATTTCCTGTTAAAGACATAACTCTCAAACTGATCCTTCAAAGACATTTACAAATTAAACTTTGATTCTCGCGTGATGAACTATTTTCAAAATTTATTTCTAAAAAAATTTAAATTTAATAATCCTGAATTTTAATAAAAATAAGATTTACCAACCTAAATCAAAATAAAAATCAATTACAAGCACGAATCGAATAGAAAAGTTGGTTTACCAACTTGAATCAGAAGTGGAATATGATATTAAAGATAAATCCAATAAGAAAGATGTACATCATGAATTTGAATAAGAATAATAAATAAAAAAGAGACCTACAAGCTGGGATCTAATCAGAAATGTGACATTTTGCTCATTTGAATAAGAATAAGATTTGCTAACCTACATTTAGTAAGAATTTAATTAGAATTCAATAAGAAATAAGATTTAACAATCTTCTCTTAAATCAGAAATATATATATAAAGTATATCTTTCTATTTACTGGAGCGAGCTAGGCAAAATTGCAGTTTCTCTTCTTTTGCCTCGTAATAAAGTGCATTCGACTTTGGTCTATATCATGCAAATGAATGTGTTAAAAAAACTATATAAACTAAAAAATTAAAATTAAAAAAAATAGAAAAAATTAAATCAACTAAAAAATTATTTAGAAACATAATTTGAGGCCAAGAAAAGAATTCTAGCACCAAACCCAAATAAAAATGAGTTTAAACTTAACACATAAAAGATCGCAATGCTGAAAATATCTGGTCCATAAACTAAATCTTATATTGACTCAAATAAAGTACAATTTAACAACTCAAGCGTATCTGTATTAAAAGACTTAAGTGAATGTTTTTGACTGAAGAACTTTTCAGATCAATTTCAGATCGTAGGCAAGTGATCAAGACAGCAGTGAAATTTGAATATTATTGACGGCATCAGAAGCCTTCAGAGGCAACTGATTTGAAAGTGTATATGGGCAAGACACAAGATATTTAGAGTGTGAGTGTTACTTGGCTAAATCTGATCAATTTCATCTGAATTTAGTGGATTATAAAATATTTTTCTGTACTTAAGATACCATGTGAAGTGTTGCCAACTTTTTATTAGAAAAGTCTTGTCTTTTGCATTGGTGAAATTATCTCAGCTATTTTATATAAATTTAGATGGGCCATAGTTAGCCATCTGCCAAATTAGTTTAACAAATTCTTGAGTCTTAAGTGTTCAGCGTCCAGTGCACACTGCCATAAAATCATAATAATATAACAGATAACTTTACTTAAGTCTAAACCAGAAAAGAAGAATGTATATATGTATACAGATATATTTCTAGTAAAAAACAATACACGTAAGAGTGTTGCCCAGAGCGAGCAGAGCAAGAAGTAAAACAAAAGTGACATTTCGCTCGAGAGACGTTTGGTGCTGGCCATTTATCGAAATGTGTTGAGTGAACAGGACTAGGAAAGCTTTATATTTTTCCCAAAATGGAACGGGTGTGCGTATGTGTGGGTGTGTGCATTTTATGTAATCTCCAGTTTAGCCAGTTCGAAGCATCGAGAACAATTTTCAATTTTATAACTTATTGTGGCAATGGGTAGAGCGCAATTTGGAAATGTTGCGACGGGCGGCGAGGTGAGGCGAGGCGACGGCTGCCGCACGACTGCCGTGTTCCGCTCTTATATTATTTTTAGTCGCGGGGCTTGCGTGTTCTTGACGCAACATTTGCGGTTGTTTATGTTTTTGAGGTCTCATATCGTGGTAAGCCAATTGTTATGCCCGTTTTGTTTTATTGCACACATGCACACACCCTGCCCAGACGAGATATCGGGGCTGTGTTTGCTAGTTGCGGCGACATTTTGCGTTTGGGTCACCTTCGTTATGGCCATCGCTTACAGGTGTTAATATTTCAATTAGTAGTCGTTTATGTAGCGAAAAACCCTCATGTAATGCTTCACGCAACTGTTACGCCGCAGCCAAGTCGTAATGGCTATGCGTGAGTGTGACTGTGCCTGTGAGTGTGAGTGTGACTGCGAGTGTTGAAGTGTGCAGGCGCTAGCAATTGCTAAATGATTCTTCCGGCGGATAAATAAATAATTTTAATTGTTGCCTTGAACGAACAAATTCAATTTAAAAGCCAACCAAAAAAGGGGAAAAAGGAATTCCGTTAAAACATTAACATTCGGTAATTAATATTTATAGTTTTTTTATCAAATATTATTTTTTATTATTTACATGTGTATATAATAATCAAGATGTTTTGGCAGAATTTTTAAAATAACCTGCCTTTTAGGAGCTGCAGTTGGCCCAATAGACTGGCTTTGTTTGAAATTATTATTTGTGTAGAGATTACGTTCCGCTCTTCTTGACGCTCTCCATTCGCTCTCAGAGCGCTCTCGACTTCATTATGCTAAGACGGCGCTCATAGTTCGGGAGGAACTCACTACCGTTGCTGCCATAAGAACAGATCATGTATTTACAAAGTCTATTAAGAAGGGACTTGAGCAGAAGTTCTATTCATAGTATTCAGTGGTGGCTTGAAAATATAATTAAGGCTACAAATTTACAAATTTACAATTTTGATCTACAAGAGACAGAATGAGTCTTGGAGTGAAAGTTTAGTATTTAGTAAAAATATTAAGACAATGGAAATGATAAGAAATATTTATGAATTGAATGAAACTCACTGGATTGAATTTAGTAATTATATTTTAAATACATCCACTATAAAAACACTTATCAAGCCAATTGGGTACATAGTAAGGGGAAACTACGTCGAAGGATTTCAATTGAATAGTTTTTGTATAAATCTCACAGCACAGCACAACACAGTAGAGGTCAAGACTTATCGATATTCGGCATTATCGATAGGTCATCGAGTAGGCACCTGAACAGACTATAATACTAATAAAATGCCTTGGCTGTCAACCTAACAGTCAACTGTGAACACGTACTTGGACAGGCACGATTCTAGCAGCTAGATCGGCAGTTCGGCTCATCTTTATCCTTGATCCCTATCCACTCATCCACTTCTAAAACTCCTTATTATGCAACAAACTTCATTTAATATCGATAAAAGACAGTTGCAAATAAACACAAAACAAAGCACAAAAATTCTTCTGCCATGCTGAGAATTTAATTTTTAATTACTCAAATTGAATTGTCAAAAGAAAAAAACACATTTTAACTCCATACAAAAGCAGCGTCGGTGCTTAATATGTCTTGGCTAATGAAATTTCATTTCAATATTTATTCTGCGATGGTAATAGAAGTCGAAGTGCCAGAAAACAAAGTCAAGCGTAAATGCATTGATGTGAAATGTTGCCAAAAGAATAAGGTCAAAAACAAGAACTAATTAATGTGGAACTTTTCATTCATTACTTCATTAATTATCTAACAAATATTTTAATATTACTGTATTAATTTCTAAGACTTTATTAAATTCATGAGTTTTCGTATTGGATTTTTTCTATTTTATTGTTTACCAAGGCGTGTTTTTTTTTAAGGTCAAATCCTACCAAACTGAAAATTAACTTTACTAAATTGAAAATTTTATGACAATAATGTTAAAATATAATTTCGGATAAGACGCAATTCGGACAATCAGTTTTTAGAATCATGATCATTATTTTTCTTGAAGACGTATGATGAAGACAATGACTAAGTCGGCAACGACTCCAAGCAGAACACGTGAAAGGCCCACACTTGTGACAGTGTTTCCATTAGCTGTTCAGTTGCTATGAATATATAAACATTATATATATATATATATATATATATATATATATTTATTTCTATATTCTGTTACACATATATGTATGAAGGTTTCTATTTAATTGCAGTTTTCATTTCGTGTACAGAAACTTATCTCATTTCTTTTTGTTGCAATATTTCAACGATTAATAATATTTTGTGGCTTGATTGTGAGATGTGAGCTATAGAGAATGGCGCCGGAGGATGGGTGCACGAGTATTTAGAGTTGATTGCTAGGGCCTGGTTGAAAGTGAAAAGCAAAACAATCAAGAAAGCCCAATTGGCCATCGTTTTCATAATTTGTTTTAAATAAATATTGTTTGTTTGCAGCTGTACGTTGGCAAACTAAATGACATTTATTGTCAGTTTTTGGATCAGGACGATGCGGATGCAGCTGCAAAAATCTGTCTCTGGCCAAATGTCTTTCCATATTTTTCATGCACAATTTCAGGAAGGGGTTCGCAATGGCCGTGGAAATGGATGTTCGTCTCCATCCTTTGCCTCAGTCACGGTCTCGCTCCGTTGCATATATATACACACACACATATAAATATATATATATATATATATATATATATATATATTTATATATACGTAAATATATATGCATTTTACTTGTGTGCATTTATTTATTTACGTGGCCATAGTCAGCCGATGGGCCAGGTCCAGTTGGTTACAGCGCGTCGTCAGGGAAAAGAAGAATATTGCAATGGCTGACAAAATTTATTTCGTTCCCGTTAGCGGTTTATTCTTTTTGGTCGGCTTTTTCTCTTTTTCATCATTTTATTCTTTTTTCATTTTTAATTTTTTTTTGTACTTTTCGTTATTTTTCGTTTTTTTTTTTGCATATGTCAGCCCTGCCATGCATATTAAAATGTTAAAAAACACACATTTACTTTTGCATATTCATTATTAAATACTTTTTGGATACAATTTATATATATATAAATATTATGAGCAGAAATAAATAATATTAATATTTTTGCAGCTGCTTAAATCATCAATTTCTGCTTAACTAGTCAATTCAGCAATTGTCTATTGTTGACCTATTGTATGCTCTACCGCTCTACACTAACAGGGCATATCAGAGGACTCCATCTGCGAAGCAGTCTCTACGCGTCATACTTTATTGCTTGAGTGTTCAGTCACACATCTTCATCTGCTTATGATGTATTCAGTGATATTGCAATAGGAGCTTTGAGAATGATGCTTCACCAATATGTGTGGCATAGTAGACATAGATTTGACTAAGCCTAGTAAACAGTATTTTATGTCCCAAAGTAGCCAATACAAATATCATACAAACTATGCAACTAGCCCTAACTCAATGTTCACAAGGCTTCTTGCAAGAACTATATATAAATATTTTAGTAAATTATGAGAGAAACGAAAGAAGAAGAAGAAGAAGATGAATGTCAATCAGAGTAGAACTGGATTTTGCTTGCATATAAGTATACATATATATATATTCGACATACATCACAGTGCGACACTTTTAAAATACTTCTGACCCAACAAGAGTGATACAATTTCCGATGGCTATATTTAAGTAATATATATAGTTACTGATAAATTTTAGTTGTTGAATACTTTTAAAAATAATTGCCATTTTATTATGAATTGCTTTTTTGTATATAAAATTTAACTTTATTTTTAATTTGTATTTGAAAATGCTTTCAAGTTTGTTGTTGCCATGTAGCGACTTCTACTAGAGTCTTGAATAACAAGATGTAAAACTGAACTTGTTCGTTCGTGTTGATGAGGCTTTTAGGCTAGGTACGGGGCTTTCAATATTAAGATGAAAATAAGTCAGGGTAACATCCTTTACTACAGTTATATGAAAATTGGTCTTGACTAAGGGCAACTAAAAGCTCAAGCAGATAGTGGAAGCTTAAAGATTAAGTTCATTCATTAGGCCTTTAGCTAAGTTGAGGATTATTTCAATATATGAAGCGATCTGGCTACTGTCTTGGGTATATCCTCTTTAGTCATTTTTTGCAATTTCTGACAAGTCTGTTGGGGTATACAGTTTGCTGAGATTTGTTTCCGATTGCTGGTTTTTATGTCTAGTTCACTCAACATTGCATACGCCTGTGAGGAAGGCTTACACCAAGCGAGTGTGTGAAAATAGTTTGAGGAACTTACAGAAATTTGCATTAATTTAAATAATCTTTATGTGTTAGATATCTCAAACAACCTCAACAATTGACCACCGGAATCAAATCATTTAATGTGAAATATTTAGATAGTGCTTATAAAGGCAACTGCTTAGAAGGACTTGAGTGAGGGCAATAGTCGAGAGTAATATGTAATATAAAAATGCAGTTTCTTCTCTTATTGCCCTTATTAGGCTACCTTGCACTGAATTCTGCCAAATTCGGCCAAGTTAGGGCTGCTTGGTCAGTAGGACGACAGTCAAGGACATGGCATATACAAATGACATCGGGAAAATTTCTATGGAGCTCTTGAAATCTTACGTTTGCCAAATAATATTTACCAAATTATTACCAAATAATATTTCAAGTTCTATTTTCCTATGCAAATGAAGCGAGAGAAATGGCAAGTGAAAAAGTATGTGAAGTGTCGTTGCTAAGAGAAAAAAGTTTTCGCCTGAATATTGGAGGCATAACAAAGTTTGATCAGAATATCTCGAAAATTAAAATATATTGCTTGCAAATGTGAATAAATTATTCGGCTCTATACATGTATGTAGCAGGAGTCTAATTTGTTGACTTCAGCAACTCCACTGGTCTATATGGCTATGCCGAAGGACTAGCTGGCATTCAAATAGACAGATGGAGCATTAATATGCATGATTTACTTGAAGATGGCTAACGTGTGTTTGTGTTGGGACAGCTCGATGGATTTTTGTGGACCTTGGGTATTGCATTTTGCGGTCTCGTTATTTGGACGAACTTAAAGTTAACACATTGTGCTGAAAATGGATGAAAAAGCCATTGCGACAATTTGTAAACTAAAGATGAATAAAACATGAAGTGAAAAACACTTTGGCGCTGATAAAAGGCCGCGCAGCAACAAACTGTCGGCGAAGACATGTGTCCGCGCGTGTGTCCTTTAACAACTGCACAGTTACATAAACAGGATAATAAGGCACTTAACATGCACTCTTCGCCATCGCCATCGCCATTGCCATCGCTACCAGTGCCCCACTGCTCCAGCTGTTGTCCAACACAATGGGACGAGGCCAGCAAAATACAAAAATACAAAACTGCAAATGCCGTTGTTGGCTGGTGGGCGTGCAGGAGACAGGAGGCAGGAAGCAGCCAGGACATGATGATGACGGTGACGTAACAAGGACGACAGCCACAGGAAAACAAAGCTGCGTAAAGTCGCCGCCACTTATGTCAGGCCAAATCAAGCGTTACTCTTGACATCAGTCCGCCGCTCAGAGTTCGCAGCTCCGCACAGAGTAGCAGCAGTAGTCGGTTCCCAGGCGCGGTCGGACTGTGGCCTCCAGGCAGCCGCCATACGCCGCACGCCATACGCTTAGACATTTGCCTCAAATTATGCTTTGCGCCCTGCCATAAGCGTAATTGAAAATTTAAAGGCTTTCTCCTTAAGCCGCCCACAAGAGCTGCCATCAACAGTTGCTGCTCCCCGAGTATTTCGATAGCGTTTGGTATTTTAACAGCAATATAGAAGCCCTGAACTCTTGGTATCAGCCGAAACACAATGCAAATATTTGCGATATCATTAAAGTCTGCTCATATAAACTGAATCTTCATGTGGTCAAGCTGCTTTGGCTAATAAAGTTTTCTCGTTTTGTATAGAAGAACTTAGCATGGACGCTATGATTTCTATATTAGTTATATGATAGAGTGATGCACAAAAACCAGGTTGAGTTTAAGGATCGTTAGAGACGGAAGATAATTGAGATAGAGAACTAAACACAAACACAGACTGATTGAGGCAGGAGTTGTTCAGAGGTTTCAAGATTCTGTTATTATATTATATTTATTTAGTGTTTAAATGCAACTTTTTCAATTTGATTATTAGCTGAAATCCTACAAGAAATCGATAAAAGAGAATTCGATTTGACTGCCAATTGGTAAATTAAATTTACTCGTTCAACTCCTGTGGCTGACAGGAGCCTTTGCCCGAGGCGTCGAAGATAGATTTTTATATTCATGAAATTGGTATTCGTGTAAATGTTTCTCTCTCTCTCTCTGTGTGTGTGTGTGTGGGTTAACATCAAAGCTAACTGCTTATACTTAAAATGTTGCACACATACAAACTAAAAATTAATTTATAAACACAAAACGCGCTGGGTGGGGGACAGTTCTAGCCAGAGGGACGCTCAACATTCCAACAAGCTTATGTTCATACATATACAATAGCAAATTAGCTCTCTTAATTTAGCTTTTCTTGTACGTGTACTTGCCCATGATTTAATCGTGCTCACTTTTTTCTCTACTGTGGGGCACAAAATACTATCTCAGAGCCATAAACACGCCAAGTCGCCATCCGTTCGGGTCCAGCTTTTGCGCTGGGAATTGCAGCCAAGCTAATTACAATAAGTTAGAGTGCTTCAAAAGGGAGTACACGACCATGAGATGCCCTGTACAGCTGAACAACACCCCTTGGCCTCTGCATGTTACACACATTCGCGCAGACCCTGTAGACCTGCTCGTGTGCTCAAATTTTACGCGGTATAAAAAGTAAAAGCATATTTCATTTTGCTTGTTTTTAGCGTTTTCTTGCCCACTTTAGTGGCTAGAGAACATCTCCTCCCGCAACGGGAGCACAGTATTGTGGAAATGCTTGTGGCTAGCCTCGGCGCCAGGCGACTGCAATCGGTATCATGGCGTAGGTGTTGGCCATATGGAGCCCTGGCTGTCATAATGCAATCGCGAATCCCCATCCTAGCGCACTGAGTATATCGACTACAGTGGGGGCTCGCTTTATGTAAAGTCTTATTGGAGGGTCACTGCAGTTGAACTCTGTGGTATTTTGCTAACTTTGGACTTTCACTAATTTGCTTTCGTTACATTTTGTATCTTTATAGTATTTTGAGCTCAATTACGTCGGAATTTTGTTAATCATTAAGTTCATGGGTTGCATTGTAAGTGTATCTGCCCTGGAGTCTTAGAGAACGAGCTGGTTAAAATCACAATCTTCGTCGCATACCACAAGCTAATGAAACATGGAGCTGCTGCAGTTGCTGTGCTACACATTCCTTCTGCTACTGTCGAGGATGCTGGGTGAGTACATCTGCAGCCCAGAACACGTTTCCCCCTTTTCAGAGCTGAATAATTCGTTGAGCGTTGGAATTGGACAAGCTCGGGGTCAGTGCCAGCCGTGTAAACGATATGCAAAGTGGAAATTATGAGCACCAGCTGACGAGCGCCTGCATAACTAGGCAATAACAAAAAGAGGTCATGTTCCTTCCTAGTTTCACTACAGCACACTCTTGCAGTAGAGACCGTGCCACTCGCTTGACTATAGCAGCGCCATAGATTTGGCACGCTCGCAGCTCAAAATGTTGCAAGCATCCTCTGGAAGTAACATTGTAAACAAATAAAGCAGCTTGCCGCGCTGACTAGACTGGCTGTTACCCTATCTCTAGGTCATTTTTCCTTCATAGAATCGAGTTTATATGGGAAAAACTTTTACTTTTTCAGGAGTTGTTGAATATTTATAAAACGGAAAGAGCAATTGATATTTTTAGAAAATATGTATGTATTTGGTATGTATATATTATAAAGATAGATATTATTGTTATTACGAAGTTGATGCGAGAGAGAGAGAGAGAGAGAGAGAGATGTAGAGTCAGATATTGAGACAAAGATGGAGAGGGAAGGCAAGAAAGTGAGACAGAATGAAATTGAGACTGAAAGAGAAACAGAGCGGAAGAACAGAGAGAGAGAGGGAGAAGAAAAGAGAGAGAGAGAAAGATATTGGGAGAGAAAGAAAGCGAGAGAAATTGAGAACGAGGGACAAGGAGAAAGAAAGTGAAAGATACGGTGAGAGAGAGAGAGAGAGAGAGAGAGAGAGAGAGAGAGAAAAAGAGAGAAAGAGTGAAGCTGTGAGCAAGATAGAGTGAGAGAGAGGGACAGAGAAGGAAATAGAGACAAATTGTCAACGAGATATATGGAGGTATGTAGGCAGAAAGGTGCAGACATCGAGATTGAGAGATGGAGAGCTAAAAAAACAATAGAAAGAGAGAGAGGTACAGAGAGAGAGTCAGACATGGAGAATAAGATGATAAATGAGGGCAAGGAAGAGTTAGATAAAGAGACAACGATAGATAGTGGCATGCGGTAAATGACAGATAGATAGAGAGAGACACAGAGAGATATGCAGAGATATACAGAGAAAGAGAGAGAGAGAGAGAGATTGAGAGAATGAGAGAAATTCAGACAAGTTGTCAAAGAACTATAGATTAGGTAGACAGTAGGAGATAAGGAAGCAAAGAGGAGATTAAGATAAAGAGAGATTAAGCACAAGAGAGAGCTGCTCTTAAAGCCAAGTTACCGTGACAAGTTTGCGTCTTGTTGTTATACAATAAACATTCTTCCTAAGTGCAATGAAACAGGCATGGGACAAAGTCAGCTAAGCACAAGAATAAGTATAAATAATCGGCGAAAATTGAAAGTTCTCTGGCCGATACAAAAATAGAAGTTAAGGCAGAAAGACAAATGGCCCAGAACAGCTATGCCATGACCTTAGACATTAGGCATGCGTCAGCGGCAGCTTAGCAGTTAGAGCAACACCAACAACAACCATCGACCAAATAACATCTCAAGGGCTAGCCCCACCTGCCGCCTCGCCACAGGTTACTCAGCTATGCGAATGCCTTGCAAGAGTTCAATGTATACTATATAGATTGATACATGTTTAAAATATCAGACATTGGCCTCCTTTAATTAAGACTTTCCTGCGTCAGGAATTGGCTTAGCATCAGCAAGCAAATGCTAAAGTTCAAGTCTCATGGTAATGATAAGGGTAAGAGCAGCTTACTTGATTAAAGTTGTTTTAAAACAAATATATATTATATATATGTAAAGAAAGAGCAGAACGCTTGCAATAAATTCACGTTAAAATTGTACAATAGTTGCGTCGGCGTCTGGGATCCGATTTGACGTCGCAAAAGCATTTAGAAATAAAACAGGTAACATCGCCTCTGCTGGCTGAGTGGATACCCCGCACGCTCAACACGCTCAATGCCTGCCCAACGCTTAGCTTTGTATTAGTCAGAGCAAGTCGCCTTGGCGGCAACAGAGAGAGAGAGAAAGAGAGAGAGAGAGAGCAATAGAATGAGCGAGAGAGAGAGAGCATTGTAATGGGTCGACGCGTCGACGGCGTGCCAAACCCTCTAGTCTGGCCGATAAGCACGCCACGCTCTTGTTTGTGCCCCATTTTAAGTGCGCCTCCCGATTAAACAAAACATAAATTTTACAGACGATAAATCAGCTGAGAGCGTTGAGAGCTGCCCAACAGCAGGTGCAACCTCCAAGCTCCACATCCATATGCATCCAGCTAGCGGCAGCACACCCAAAGTTCGAGTCCACTGCAGCGCATGCAAGTGGGAAATAATACTAAAACCAATGTCAACAAGATGGAACGCTTTTCTGGGGCCACGCCGAAAACTAAATACCCTTATGTACCTTGAACTTTATTTTATTTATATTTTATATATGAATAACGAGCATCATAATTTTAAGTACTTTGCATTTATTTTACAAGCGAGTTGTATATATTAAATATATATAAACAAACAAATATATTTGTAATATCAATTAAAAGGCATTGATTAGATGGAATATTCCATTCATTCATATTTATGTATAGTTTCACTCTGGATCATCATCGATCTTATGGGTCAATGACTCCGCCAGACCAAAAAGCGCACCAAACTCTCATTTTCTGCGGATGTAATGGCTGGTTATCTTTACTCCCTTGAATAATGAAATCTTTTGTTAAATGTGACCTTTCATATAAAACTCTGACTCTACTCAAGACTCATTTTACAATTTGTGACTTCTTAGTGTCTGAGACTCTGAGCTCTGAGCCTGTGGCTATAAGCCACCATATACAATTTAATTTTAAATCTAGACTTTGTTATTCTTTTATTTTCTGTTCTACATTTTTAAAGTTCATTTAGCTTGCCTGCTGTTATAGGTAGCCAGATTAGATTCGAGCTGGTTCTATAATCAGTCAGTCTATAGTCAATCAGCCAATAGTCAGTCAGTCTATAATTAGTCGGTCTATAATCAGTCAGTCTACGGTTAATCAATCCGTTCTCAGTCAGTCTATAGTCTGTCAGAGTATAGTCAGTCATCCTTTAGTCAGTCAGTTGATTATTATTAATCAATCAATCCGTTCTCAGTCAGTTTATAGTCAGTCAGTCTATGGCCAATCAATCCATTCTCAGTCAGTCTATAGTCAGTCAGAGTATAGCCAGTCAGACTATAGTCAGTCATCCTTTAGTCAGTTTATAGTCAATCAGTCAGTCTATAGTCAGTCAGTCTATGGTCAATCAATCCATTGTCAGTCAGTGTATAGTCATTCAGCCTATAGTCAGTAAGTCTATAATCAGTCAGTCTATAGTCAGTCAGTCTACAGTCAATCAATCTGATATCAGTCAGTCTATAGTCAGTCAGACTATAGTCAGTCATCCTTTAGTCAGTCAGTTAATTATAGTTAATTAATCTAAAGTCGGCCAGTCTATAGTCAATCAGTCAGTTTATAGTCAGTCAGTCTATAGTCAGTCATCCTTTAGTCAGTCAGTTAATTATAGTTAATTAATCTAAAGTCGGCCAGTCTATAGTCAGTCAGTCTATGGCCAATCAATCCATTCTCAGTCAGTCTATAGTCAGTCAGAGTATAGCCAATCAGACTATAGTCAGTCCGTCTTGTGAGTTAGTCTATAGTCAGTATGACCTATGCTCTGTCATTATTTCAATATGCAGTCATTACTGATCACACTATGTATATAAGTTCCTTGTAGATATTCCCATTACATTTGACTTAATACTCAATAGTCGGAAAGGTTCTTTATGACTAACTAACTTCTATAATATTCAGTAAATAGCAAATGCTGAGTTTTCTCTTAAGTTCATATGTTAATACTGGTTTAGCGTGTCGCCCATTCTACACTCTTCGCTATTTGGACTTGGTTAGCACATTTCGATCGGATGCAAATCGAAATGGCGAAACTCCTTAAGAGACACATAATGAGAATAACTGCTCAACATTTAACATTTGCAAATTGTGGGGTCGCAGCAAAAAGCTGAAGAGTTCGCAGTGCAGTGCAGCGCGGCGGAGTCGCCGCCGCAGTTGGGCGATTCTGCATATCTAAGTCAGCGGCGTTCCATTTGGATGGTGCCTGCATTTTTATGCTTCGCTTGTTTTCAAACTGATTTTAATCTGTTTTTTCTGTCCTTCCATTCTTTTGCAACCTTCGGTTACTTGACTTTTGTGTCATTGTTGCCAAAAGTCCGCGTTATTGTTCCTGCTGCTCGCTCCATTCCTGTTTTTGTCGCCCTTGCCCTACCGGTCATCATCATTATTGGCATTTTGCCATTAATTTGCGCCCGAGCGTTCAAAAAATAAGTAAGGCCAGTGTGCATAACTGCTCGACTAGCTTATACCCTGCAAATGTATAAGGCACAAGCCTCGCAGGCTCAACTAACTTGAAGTTGTTGTACAACATTAGCAATTGTTTATCAAATTCGTATATTACTTTCTTGTTTATACTCTAAGAGAGACTTTAGACTATATTCGATAGCTTAAGCTCGATTGCTGCTATTGATAACCATGAGTTGCAATATTTGCTTTTGCAATCTCTTTATTCTAGTAACAAGTATCCAATGAGCTTCTAAAGACATGCAACTCTATTGCCTGTATATAATATATATATAATATATGTTAAGATATGATATATATATGATATGGTATAAGTATACAAAATCAAGTCCACTCAGCAAGATATTAGTTGCATATTTAGGATATTGATTAGACCTTTGCTATGCCAGTACCGAGTCCATTTAGTTAATTATTTATTATGATAAATTCGCCAATTCGACAAGTTTATAGTCAAAGAGTCCACACATCAAATGAAATATCTCAATTTGCTTTCATTTCGAAGTTATTTTAATAATTTTGGCTTCAATTATTGCCATTTGATTTGCTTCTACATTAACCTAATAATGAAGAACGGAACAGACTTAATTTGTTTATTACACCCAACTTTAACACA